TTTTAACTCCTGTGTCTTCTTCAGTTGTACTTCCTGTTTCCTGATTAGCTTCATGTGTCTCACCTGTGTCTCGTTAGTCGCCCTGTGTGGTCCTTCACTCTGTTCTGCTACGGTCGGCACTAGATCATATTCGGAATCGGGACAAAACCGGAAGTAACAATCCTTCTTTCAAATTATTTTTATACTAATAAGTCCTTAAATGGTGACTGGTTAAGTTTTAGGCGTCTGAGTAAGATGGTTAAGTTTAGGGTTAAGGCTGGGTTGGGGTTATTTTATGGGAATGGATGGTCAAGTTTCGGCATGAATAGGTAGTTTGTTATATTTATTTCCGCTTCCGTCCCAATTCCGTTTATGATCTAGTGCTGACCGTTCTGTTGTTATCTTTCCATGTTCCGTGTTTGGTTTCTTTTTTGTGGTGTTTTTGCTGGATTTTGACTACTTTTACTAAATCTGTTATTTTGCATTTCTGCCTATTTGGATCCTGGTGTGTACGCAAGGTGTTTTGAAATTGAGAAAAATACAGATAATGATGAAAAAAATAAATAAAGACAAAAAATGTCACATTATCACACAAATAAAAAGTTTAAAAAGGCAAAATTGCCATAGTGCATCATCGGTGTCCTAGTTGTAAAGCGCTCTCAGTTCAGATGCTTTCAAATCCTGATCGTAGGACAGGGCTTTTCTGAGAGGAGGACCTTTCTGATGAAGCTTTTAACTTTTTTATCACAAACTTTGCTAGAACAATTAGCTAGCGTTTGAGCTGTGAAAGTGACAGTGACAACAAATGCTAAATCCATCTAAAAAAAAAAAGGGCTCTTTGGAAATTTTAAACGCACTGCTCTCAAATATTTCTTTAAGGTGGTGTGTGCTTTTGGCTATTTTTCTCCACACTCCCAAACTTATCCCAGTTTGAAAACAATAATAGAAACCCCATGTGTCTTTCTCAGATACTAAATAGCTGTCTGCCTGTGTCTCCTGAGGTGGTTGCACTGGACCATCTATCAGCCAAGGCTTGGCCCTCAAACCGCAGGTGTAAAGATGATAAATACTCCCCTTTGCTAAAAGGGCACAGGCAGAGATGGATGGGGATGAAGACTGATATTGAAAGTGCAATTGGAAGGGAAGTCTGCTGAAAGATTGAAAAAATAGTAGTTGGAAAAGTAGAAAAGAGGTAGTCGCAGTGTGTGATCCAAAACGTACGTATTATCCACAAATTCCCATATTGCGATCGTTTACCTTCATCAGGGATGGGCCATTGTTTTTCTCCATAACATGTCATGGAACAACCGACCGCTGGTGGTTGTGTGGACGGTAGAAACTAGACGTTAACTACATGTCCATAAAAGATCAGACGCTTTGAAGTTTTGAAGAATGAATAAATGCACAGAGAAGACGTACACCTTCATGCCCCTTTTGTTTCCTGCGTCACAGTGGCTGAGTGGATAGCATAGTCCTCCCATGTTGCATGTTCTCCCCCTGTCTGCGTAGGTTTCCTCAGGGTGCTCAGGTTTCCCTTTCCACTAAAAACCAGCACAATAGTTCTGGCATGTGCCTCCTGTTCAGTGACCCCGCTTCCATCTGTGTGGAGTGAGAGACTAATGCACACAACAAGTGTAAAGCGCTTTGTGACTCTGGTCTGTGAAAGGCGCTATATAAATACAGATTACTTACATACCAAATGTTCATCGATATGATACCATAAGCCAGGCCAACAAATCTGCATTCTGACAAACAAACATCATATTTTTGTAGGGGTTATTGAAGTCGATATCACACATAACTTAAGTTATTTATTTGATATCGGAGAATTGGATCAAAAACAATCACGTAGTAAATACAATAATTGATAGAAGCTTTATTTAGGGGCACCAGTGATAATTCACAACTGATAACGTGCGTATGACGTCACATTATCTATTAATTGGCTCATTTATTGATTCTGTAATCATCCATCCATCCATCCATTTTCTTCCCCTTAATCCATTTCTGGGTCGGGGGGTGGCCGGAGGTGCCACCCAGTACACAGAGCACCAGTCCCTCACTGATCCTCCTGCAGGTGGTGAGTCCACAGGAGCTGTAATCATATGAGTAATTAAATATTCAATTAGCTAGTTAGTGCAATTCTTTTCAATAGAATCTGAAGGTATGAATACTTTTACAAATCAGTGACCCAATATCTGGAGTTAAATCAGCACAAATATCACTTTCGGACAAAGATGGTTTTGTAGATTTAATGCAGTATATACAATACGGATTAGATATGAAATATGCAAATTGTCAAGAATAACATGACGGAAACGTTGATTGCAAGATACTTGGTTAAAATGCTACTTGGTTAAAATGCTACTTGGAAATGGATGCAGACCAGTCCTTTATCGCAACATGTGGTCCTTCAGTGGTCCACCATCCCCATGTTGAAGTTGGAGGCTATTGGAGAGTTGTGGAAGTCCTCTCAAACCTGGAGCTGAGGTTTGGACCGATCTTGGAGGCCCAGTTGTCCTACTACTCCATGGCACAAAAGTATAGGCGGGCAGGCCTCTCGGTCCTCTCTTTTCCACTGGAGGACCGAGAGAGCAGGGACCTGGTGTTCTCCTCACGCAAGCTTCTTTGAAAGAGAGAGTCAAAATGGAGCTGTGAGAGTTTTGTCACTTCTTGGGCCGCCTCCCCCAGGGGGGCAGAGGTCTTATCAAAGCAGAGGAAGAGCAGGATACAAAGGGGGGAATTTTCAAATCCCCTCCATTTTATTAAATTCTACACGAAGCACAAGTCTGTAATTTGTTTTACATCTATAGGTCTACTGCATGAAGACAATTAAACCAATGTTGGATCATGATAAAATTCCAAATCTCAAACTCCCCTTGATCATGAGGGTTTGTCATAATGCCAACTTTTCAGAAAAAACTAAAATGAAAAGGTAGAAAAGCATGACCAAAATGTCCTCTGTGCGCACCTGCAAAAGTCCCTAGGTTTTCCGCTGTTTGATTCCCCTCCCTGAATTGGGTCTTATCAGAGCTGGTGCTGCATGAAGGAGCTATCTGCGAGGCTGCCTGGCACATACTGATAGCAGTCCACTTAGCCTGGGTAAATAGAACTGAACTCAACTGAGACTATTTAAACACTCTAAATGTAATGAGATTAAAGGTGGCCAAACAGATGCTGAGCAAGGACCAGTGCTGGAACTTTCATTCTGCTTAAATAGTTATGGCATATGGGAGTTGTCGAAAGTTGGATGTAAAGTTTCTTGTTGTTTATTTTGAAGACAGAAGTTGAGTCCAGGAGTGATCGATTGATACTTACGATTTCCCCAATCACATTGACAAACAAGAACACAAATACAGTATAGGCTCAGTCACATACTGTCAGGAATGAACCAGACAGAGACGGATTGTGGTGTGCCAAACTCTGGAAGTTTATTTAAGTTTCTCTCAAGTTCCAGTGGTTTCCATTGTTTCTTTCTCCCAGACAGAATAAAGGCAGTACACAGTTTATGTAGTCATTGTCACGTCACACATCGAAAGACGTACGTGTCACACAGAGACAGTCACATCATAGTCAAAATAATCAGAGTCCTTGTACAGTCCTGCACGTACTGTAGGCCATATTGCTATCTTCATAACACTTTTAAGCAACTTTTGTTAAAGTTAAACTCATCCTTATTACGTTTGCACGAGCCAGTACTTTTCCCTTGTTTTGACTTCTGAAGGCCAAGCTACATGGCACCGTGGAAGCTGCTGATTGGAGGACTGCATTCCTCCGTGCTGTATAATACACTTGGTGTCGTAACATCCCTTGTTCGTGTTGTTCGTGCTGTCTCTACCATCGACAATAAAACATGTCTTCTGTCTGAATTTAAGACACGATCCCAGACCATGTCCTCTTCTTCAGGTGGTGGAAGGATGCGGGCCTTGTCTGTAACATCTAGTGAACAGAAGACTATTTTTTAACACAAAAATATGTGGGTTTTTTTCAAGCCAAATCTGAGAAACCTCAAGAGAAACCATGCATCTGGATCAGCACTTGGACAATCTGCACAGCCCCTGATTCCATACAGGCCTGCTGTGAGCTGCTGAGACATGGACAATACCATTGTCCTCTTTTGCATGGACATGATTTGGAACAATTGGATATCTGAATTTGGACATAATTTGGACTGAATTGGATTTCTGAATTGACACGATCCCAGACTTTGTCATCGTCTTCAAGATCAAAATATACATGCTTATTAAGATTAAGAGATCCTTTATTCGTCCCACAGTGGGGAAATGTCATTATTGCATCTATGCCAACCTTGTTTTGTAGTTTTCCTGAAGAAAGGGTGTGTTCACAGAAATATTCCTGTTCATAATCTTCAATGTTTGGCAAAAACCTGGTCTCCATGGAGAATATCCCAAAGAACTTTTTTTTCTAAAGGAAAAATCCAGATACCTCCAGAAAATATAGACTGTAGAGCTATATTTATTACAACTATGTCACGTTTTGAAAATGAGGAAGGATCCAAAATGCAGGACTGTCAAAAATATAAGATTTAATTTAAAACTCAAAAATAACAAAATCCAGGGTTACAGAACTTGAAACTCAAACCAGAACGGATACAAACAATGGTCCAACCACAAAGGGAGAGGAGCACAGGGTTTAAATACACAAAAGGGAGACACATTAGGGCAGGACAGGCAATCAACACTGAAAAGAACCAATATATCAAAATAAAACCAGGTAGAAGTTATCAAAAAGTCCATACCATGACAAAATATTGACTAATATGAAAATGTTTTGCATCGACATTGGAGAAATGGGCTTCACATTCACTGCTGATCATTTAAACGTATTATATTCTTACAGTTGACTTTCAAAATAAAAGTGATGATGACACAGTAGCCCACAGAAGCCCAGAATGAGCCCTGACGTGTGGCGCCGGAACGTCACACTGACTCCATGGACGAGGACAGAGCCGCTTTAGCCCATGGTTATTTTGATGCCTTGATGGCCTTTGCCCTATAAACTCAAACATGCAGGGGGGTGAGAAGATTGACCCGGGGCCAGGTTTCTGCCTGGACGCCCTCTTCACTCTCCAGGCCGCTCTGCCCACAGGCCTGGACGTCCCGTGGAGGGAGAGTATAACGCTGTGTGGCACCACAACCTGGAGACATATGCTCCCTGCCACTGGCTCCTGCGTGAGAGGAGATGCTATCAGCAGCAGAAAGAGGCCAATGAGAGAAAGTGCCTGAATGAGGAGGAGGCTGTAAAAGGAGAAATAAATCAAGTCAAAGCAATTCGTGGCAATGACTGCTGCAGCGTCATTAGGAATCCCGTCACGCAGGGCTCCTGAGCGCCGCGGCAGACGCAGGTTGACAGCAGGCCAAAGAAGAATTTTAATTTTTCCCTCGTCTCTCAGCTCCCACCTCGCCTCCATCTCCCAAACACTGGCCCATATATTGCCTCTAGAGCCAGACTCATCCCAAATCCTGCTGGATCCCTGCATTAATAAGACCTCCAACAGAAATCCTCCTTATGGACGAGGAAGAAATGTCAAACATTTTCAGATTCTATTTGAATTCATGTTATTGGAGAATTTTATTCATATATGCTTCATGAAACTTAATGACCAAGTGGATTAGATATCTCAAGTGCATTGAACAGAAGTAGTTTTATTCATCATTACACGTTGATTAAGACAAAACAAATCAATGATAACGAATTAATAGGGAAATTATAAATAAAAAAAAGTATATATTAAAAAAAATCAAACTAGTGCAGTAGTCCATGTTTTTATTGAACAGTACTGGGGCAGACAACATATATTATTTTCTGCTTGTGTTTTTCCTTATCATAAGGGTATATTGTACAATTTCCTGTTTGTAATATTATTATGAAATAAATATAAAAACAATAATTTAAATAGTTAAATAAATAAAACACAAGCTAAACATGTGACCAAAAATGTGATTTGTTTCATAGTCTTGAATATTGCCACTATTTTAGCACATAAACAAACCAGTGAAATATCCGTAGACAAAGTATTTTTAGTATTTAAGGAGTCTCTTTATGTTTAATCCATGTAAATGAGCACCTTTAAATACAGCAGACATATTGAACCAGTGACATGCAGCGACTGTTGTTCAGCCGTCTGTGTGGAAGAGCGGGGTGTCGTAACACTGGGGCTGAGCTCTGCGGGCTTCAGTAATGCTCTACATTTCTCCTCTTAACTGCCACTTTAATGAGCACACGGAATGGCCTTTGTTGAATAATTAATATATGGGTCCATTAACAAGGCATTAGAATGCATTCTATCTCTTATTGATTTTTTTTCTATGGTTTTTTTCTTGCTGAAAACTTTTACTCGGTCCGTGGACCACTCTGTGTCCAGCGCTGGCGAGAGTGAAATATGGTGCTGCTGTTTAAATGTCAGCTTTGTAATTACACATGGAGCCGCAGTCGGGCTATCCTGGACCAGAGGGGCTGATTTATGGTTCAGTCCTGATGGCCCCACAGACACATACAGATAAATGCACTCACAGTAAATACATCTCCCACACAAACAAACTAAACGCACAATATAAACCTTTTAATAATGTGATACACAGTCCATAATGTACTTGTGTAAGCCAAGTGTGAACCGCACCCATGTGCATACAGGCAGCTATCATGTTATTAGAACGAGATTATTCTGGGATTAATTGATGATTTTCAGAAAGATTTTGAAGGAATCGGACCCCCTTATCTCAAAACATGATCCAAAACTTCTACTGGCCACTTTGTAACAAGCATGACTTTGGGCATGCGGTTATATACACCGAACTATCAAACAATAAAACAGACTTAGACAACACCAGGAAGTACACTTGTTATTTATTTTTTGTATTTGTTTCTGTTAATGTGGCTGTAGCAGTGTGTATTATTGAACAGCTGCAGATATAAATACGCCAGATTCAAGCTTTTTGCTGCCAATTTCCATCTGTAGTCCCACAGCCACACTCACAAACATATGTTTTTAGTGGTAAGGGAAGCCGAAGGACCCGGAGGAAACCTACACAGACACAGGGACAGACAAACTCCACACAGAAAAGCCCCGTCAAAGGGTGGAATCGAACCTAGGACCAGTGCCAACCATTGAGCCAATGCACGCCCTTTACCATATTGCAAGTTGGCATGAGACTTCACACACTATAAAAACAGCCCAAAATGTCACTCATGCAATTCAGGATAATATCAGAGAGAAAGTTGAGATATTTCTTTACCACTCACTTAATTCAGAACATCATATCACACACATTATTCCCAGAGCTGAAAATCAAATCAATTACCTTTTGTTGTGTGATGTATCTTACAATAAAAACCAGTGGCGGCTGGTGGAATTTTCTACTGGGGGGGCTATGAATATGATGACTAGATATATACCAGCAGTAAGTAAGTTTACACTGACTGTTGTGACTGAAGCCTCACACGAGAATGAAATATATATCTTCCCAAACATAGCTAATTTGAGGGCATTTTGCATGTGGATACCAGTCTGCTCATGCTTCTTTGCCTTTTCTAAAAAGTGATTCAGATCAGTCATACCTGTCTTGATCCATGCTGGGTCAGATCCTGATGTTTGAAACAAGAGGCATGGAAAGCAAAATAAAGCATTAGCCTCGCTACATGCTGCTAGCCAAGATTTGGCGCTGAACCAGGTCCTGGAAAAAGTACGTGTACCGTCTGTCTGTCGCTGGACTGCTGACTAATGGTAATATTTGGCTGATCAGGTCCAAGCTCTTTAACCTCAACCTTCTCCTGGTATGATCTTCTCTCAAACGGTATTGTTTTGAGTGATCTAACTGAATTATTCTTTTTCTCGTTCTCCATTTTGCGTCTCTTTACGTTCGTCTCAAACTCCCACAGCTTGACCTGTCAATCACTGTAAACGGACGTCACAGACAGTGACAGTACAGGTCGCGGGCGATCCCGCCCCCTCAGGGCGCACTTCTCCTGCGCCCCCAAATCGTCTTATCTCTTGCATTGAAGAGGAGCTACTGCGCATGTACAACTTTTAACGAGAGTCCATAGACGGCTCAGGGCGCAATCTTTTGCGCCTTGAGGCGGAAATACGTCCTCAGTCCGACACAGACAACGCTGATGAGCTTAATCAATCCAACTCAGCATAAACTATAAAGTATTTCTTCCACATCTGAAATAAAACACACATACATTTCGAAATATTTTAATGTTATTATTATTTTTTACGTTTTATTCAAGGTAACATGGCAAGTTGTGAGTGGTGGGGCGGCGCCCTAGCGCCCTCTATTGGCCGGCCGCCACTGATAAAAACCCTCTTTTCTCACGGCTTACCTTCTTTGCTCAGCGGTCTTACACATTCCTTGGGCACATTGCGGGACACCCTGGTTCGATTCGGCCTCCCTCCCTGAGCACCCCACCCATCACTCAGATCCCGGGCCGAGATACCTGCTGGGAAAACCAATCTATATCTGGACGAACCGCGCACAGAGAGGAGAGGCGAGGGCAGATCAATGTGCAGATATTGATACAAGCAGCCATGCGAGAAGACTGCACTCTTCAATTCATTCTCTTGCCAAAAAAAGAGAAAAAGATTAGGAATCAAGATGAACTGCTGAGTGCGTGGATGTCGCACAATAGACGATACCGGTGATACAGGAGTGGATTACCACCGCCCTGCTCCTGTAATGATGTCAGAGGAGTGTGTCAATAATAAATACATGCGATTACAGCAAAGTGACTGGTACAAGGCGGCCCCCGCTGGCTGCCTGATCTACCCCAAACGACGATGATGCCCTCACACTGCGATTTCAATGAGACCGCAGCATCGCCCTTGCATAAAACATTGCACATTCAGCTAGGCCCGATCCCGTCTTTCCCATTTGGGGTCTTTGATTTTATTTTAAAGGCCCCTCCTCTGGCTCTTCAAACAGACGAGCTTTGACGTGCAGGTGTTTTATAGTATTTGTGGCTGTGATCATCCATCAAGCCGATCGATCACTCTCCCAGCAGCTTTTATTAATGATCTTGTCAGACGCGCGGCTCTCGGGTGCAGCGGCTTGTCCAGAATGATAGATCATTAGCCAGTCTGCCTGCTATTTATTCTCTCATGACCTTGTCTCTCTCCATTGTTGAGTGGGCCGAGTTATGAGGGCTAGAACATGATAATTCACTATTGATCAAGACTTTTTTTACCTTAACTAAAAAGTTTTTGTGGTGTCAATGCGTCTAGAGTCTCACGTGGGCTGACTGCGTTACAGTCTCTGGAATATTGGGCTTAGATTCTTAGTGATGGAGAAGCTTCAGGTGTCAGTAGCATTTTTATCAGAAGATGTATAGTATTGTTATATTTTGCTGATTGATAGGAGCTTCACATGCCAGTATATTGGTGATGGATTTAGAAGTTCAGCAGGGGAAGACCATTTGCTCATGAACCCAAAGGTCAGAGAGATTGGCTCAGAGCAGTGGGGTAGATGGCTGTCCAATCACAGCCATAAGGAGGTGGGTTGAGATCCTTATAGTGTGACGTGATATGCCTCTGGCTCTGATTGCAGAAGAGAAACACACTTTGCAACCCTGTGATAACTCCCCACAAATCAGGGCCTGGTTCAAAACATGGCTTTTGGCTCAACGCTAAGTTGTGTCAAAAAGCATGTGACAATGTTTTCAAGCCAGATCTGTTTATGTGGATGTTTAAAGTTTATGTGTAAGTTCGTCATAATAAACAGTTGGTAGCCGTTTAGGTAAACTTAAAAAATCTACAACGTCTAAACAGACCGTAACAATCTAACTGAAATTGCTGGTATCTTAACCTTTTTTCTCTAGAGCCATATTTTGAAACATTCAAAGCACAGGGCTCAAGCATGTTCTGGGTCTTCCCACGGGGTCTCTCATTCATGGCACATGCCCCGAACACCTTCCAAGGAGGTGCCAAAAAGGCCATGCCCTAAACACAGCTGGTTTCTTTCGATATACTGGAGCAGTGGCTCTAGTCAGAGTTTTCTTTCCTGTGTCTGAGCTCTTATTCCACTCAGACTCAAAGGGAGTTTCAAGACATGGAGGAAGCACACTTCAGCAGCTTTCTTTTATTGCTGTCAATTTAATTAGGGTACATCTCAGGAAAGGAGAGGTACAATAGTAAAAACACATCTCATAGTAAAACTCTATGGACAGCATTAACTACAACATGAGGTATGAAAAACCCTGTTATAAATCTTTCATCACAAATTGTTGCTAATGCCTTTTATTGCTCTGATAAACCTTATCCAACTGAATAATACCCTCATGATTCCATTATACTGGCTAATACACAGCAATTAACAGCAGATAACCCCAACTGTGAATGGCCAATAAAAGAAATACTGTGGGAGTCGTGATGGGGAGAGAAGCACAGAAAGGTCAAGTGAAAAAAGGCAGAGACAGTCAGCAGGAGCCCGGAGCCCTAAGGCTGAGGCAGTGAGGTGTGCGCAGTAGAATAAACATGAGCCGCATGTAAACAACCTGCCAGTACCAGCATCACTAACCCGTGCACACACACACACAAACAAAAGCAACAAACACACACACACACAGCGTCCTGGGGCATCCTTGGGGCTTGTGCACCTGCCTGTCATCCCGCGCTCTCTCCTCTTACATCCGTAAAGCTTGTCATGTTGATCAAGTAGCCGCAAGCCTTTTGTGATTGTCAAAAGAGTGTGAATGTTTGACTGTATAATTTTCACGTTTGTGTGGTATGGTACAACTGCAGCTCTCAGAAGTGCAGTGTTTTTGTCTCGGAGCTCAGTTGCTTCAGGTTGACCGCTCATTATACAGTTGGGTTCAAAGGAGAAACTTTACCCCCCTCTCAGTCATTCATGATGGATGGCTTTCATGTTAGCGGCAGAGTGACAGCAGCATCAGCGCCTGTGGAGAGGGACGACGAGGCCGAGGCAACCGCTGTTCATAATGCAAAGCTTCTCACTGCTCCTCGCTAATACTGATGCACTGCTGAGGTATTTCAAAATAAAATATCCAATCTTTGAACCGTGGTTCATTCTTGTTATAGCTACCTGCAATTACAACTTAACTACTTTGTTGCCAAATAATAATAAAGTTGGTATTCGTTATTGTGCATCCAACGAGAGCCAGTGTTCCTACAATGCCTTGACAAAATGTTTATACCAACTATATTTTAAACAATAATATCTTGTGTATTTTGGTAGCAATATCTATGATTTTCATGTAAAGTCGTCATTAAATGGCATTAACAAAACTCTTTTCAAATACTTCTTTAACTGATAACCGTAGTTCAGCCGAGATATTTGGATTTCAAAATTAGCTTTACAGCCCGTAAATCTTGGTATTGTTTTCATTTCGATGTCCCACCCTCCAGAAAGTCCGTGATCTGAGTTGCCAGAACTCACCGCGTCGAGCTAATCACACTGGTAATGTAACAGTGCAGAACTTATCTAAGGTCTCGTTATAATTCTCAAATCATTAATGACAAAACAAGGAATAAAACCAGGTTTCTATCTTTGTGAAAAAGGTGTTGGTTATAGATTTGTTGTTGACAAAACTATTTATTCAGATATTATGGTCCCAGCTGGATTGCATATCTGGCAACCTGAGTCAGGGAGAGTGCAGTGCAACTTTTGGCCAGATTTTTACATACTGCTCCTTTAACTTCACAAATGTGTTGGTCTTTCGCAAAAATAGAGATAAATAAAGCATATCTTATCTTATCTCATCTATAATAATATTTTGAATCGATTATTCACATATATGCAGCATTGTGGTACCCAGGCCCACATCCTCCAGGAGGTGTAAACTGGTGGAAGATATTCATTAGCACAAATTAACCATTGGTTGCCACCTAGATTTCGCTTACTCCAGCTGTTGCACCTGTACACAGTTGAGGAGTCTGTTAGAAGTTGCTGAAATATTAATTGAACGTTATTGCAGAAGCTTGCGCCTTGTGTGTACGTGAGATTTGCACCTTAGTCGCAGCGTCACAGGTGGCTCGCAGAAACAAGTAAATGGTACTTGTAACTCTGCAGGAAGAGCGTGCATCGAAACACACAGCTGCCTCTATGAATGCATTAAGAGGATTTGCAGTGCCTAATATTAGAGGAGCTATTTTAAATTGGTCTTACATTTACTGTGGCATACTAAATCATCCGTTTGAAAAGAAAACAGTTTCAGTTTCTTGTTGTTTAAGTAAGAAATCTTCATTTAGTGCGAAGAAATAGTCCCAATAATAACAATGTTGTGGGTCATGCATCACATCGCAATGGGAAGCTTCACTGTAGCCACAGCTGCCCTGGAGAAGACCAAGAGGGGTGGAGAGGAAAATCCGTGCTGATGGCTCCACTAGTGACCAAACCGATCACACAGGCACACACTGTTTACATAAGTGTCACTGTGTCCCATACCCTCATGCTGCTAACATGTACAGATGTATACATACATAGGTATACCTGCATATACTTGCGATGTGTCAAAAATGTGTCCATACAGTAATTGTTTCTTTATTATACTAAAGTTAGAGATTATATACCTGCATTTTGCTTCTTATTACAGATTATAGGCTGCTTCTTTATCATGCTAAAGCTAGAGATATTATTAAATGTTATTTTATTTAGTTGAGTTGAGAGTTCAGTATTAGTATAGTTATTTAGTATAGATTTTAGTTTGGAGCTGTGTTCATTGACTGTGTGTGGTCATTCCTACTGGTCTGTAACTGGTGATGCAACACTGAAATTTCCCCACTGTGGAACAAATACGGGATCTCTTAAACTTAATCTTAAAGTTTGCTGCCTATGGACACAACTGTTTGCACTTTAAAACCTCAGGCAAACGTTATCTAAGAATAACGGCCTGATATCGCATGCATAAAAACAGCATGACGTAGCAGTTCTGGTGGTGGCTCTGGTCGAACATCTGGAGGTGTCTGTGGGCTTTCTAACAATAAACCTTTAAACGTCTCAAAGCACAAACAACCTCAGCGTGTCCCCTATAACCCAGGCGGCTGCACCCAGGGGTCCAATAAGCAGCCATCTGCAGACAACCTCTCCCTCCACACTCCAGCAGTCACAGGAAGGCTGAGGAGGAGGAGGAGGAGACGCCAGAGAGGAAGGTGGAGGTGATTCAAGGACGAGAGGACTCCTGAACCAGAACAAGGAACGGCACCATCGCCCGCACTTCCAAACCGCTGCATGTACACAACAAGTATTTTAAGATTGCAAGGATGACATGTATTATTTATTTGTTTTATTCATTTTCAAAAAACATTAAGCCTAGCGTACATCGACAGAGTAACTGGAGACAACTAGTTGCAAGGCGGTTTTTGGCGACTGAGAGTAGATGATGGGAGATGATCAGTTGCCGAAATCGGTCGATGTGAGCGCTCTTACAACTGGAGAAAAACAGTCGATCTCCGGATTCAGTTAGTTGCCCGTGTTCTGCTTTTCGGCAACTAGTCGTGCTCAGATCGGGAGATATCCCCCGTTGTGCGCGCTCCAACAACATGTGTTGAGAGTGTTATCATGTGACGTATTGCGCGCTCTCTACAGTTTATGTCAGAAAACACACTGTAGTTGAGGCCAGTTGCTGTCGATGTACGCGCTGTTATTCCCGAGACTGGCCTGCTACTGGAGTTTTCGCCAGATTGTCGATGTGTGCGGGGCAGCAACTCATATGCGACGGATATAATCAGCTGCCAGTCCGATGTACGCGAGGCATTACGACAATAGAAACACAAACTACGTCCAATAGGTGAAAACCAAATGACATTGCTCATAACAGTGATTCCAAAACTTATTATGCTGGGACCCCCCTTTGGTACAGAAGAACCCCCCCCCCCACCAAAAAAACGGGCATACTGTATACACATTTTGTTTTCTGAGTCCCTTGCAGTTTATTTCACACATTGTAATTAATATAAACATCAGCCCTTACTGCAGATTGCGATGTGTCAAAAATGTGTCCATCTTATGCTAGCAGTATCATTTAGCCTACTGTATTTTTGTTCATTCATTCGTCCGCGCCCCCCAACTTTGGCAACCGCTAGCCCATAAGGTGAACTGTACAATTGTCTCCCTGCTATGTATCTAACATTGCACTTGTCATGTATTTTTATTTTATTTTATCTACTATCTGTCAATTTCTAGGGACTGCGAAATGGCCTTGGCTATAGGCACCATACTGTACGAAAGATCGTCCATGTTTTTTTTATTGGTCCCTTCTCAAACCAAATAATAATAATAATAAGACAGTGAGTGAGGGAGCTGCTTTCACATTGTAACCACCGTATTTTTAAATGCTGTAATCCCCGCAAGAGAACCCTTCGTTTTGCCCTGTTAAGTCCAAGTTAATTAAAAGATATTCGAGTTAATGAAACGAAACACATTTTAAAATTAAACCGACATTGAGAAACATATATCTCTTCATTGTATAAGTTTATTCCTAATTCCTGATGTTTTGCAGGTGACACTTAAAATCAAAAACAAGTTGACAAAAGCATAATTTAACTTTCTGGTTTTCAATGGCATCAATCCATGCTCCAGTGTTACCTAAACCACATGCTGTCTTCTTCCATCTTATGTATTGACCCAGTGTAAGTGTGGCAGCCCCAGAGGTCCTGCCCATGGCCCTTCTCTCCCGGTGTGGAGGTGGAGAGGGGCCCGGGCACTGCTGCTGTCCTCTGCTCCTGGAGCCTGTGTGCTCATCCATCCTGCTCTGCCAGCCCACAGATCGATGGCTGTGCTCTCTTAATCAGGTCTCTGGTGACTGTGGGCGGACCGCAGCGTGTGTGCGTGTGTTTGTGTGGACAGGAGCTGTTAGAGGCTGAAGGTTGCACTTTGTTTTTTCATTTGTTATCTTTTTTTTCTTCTTTAAACTTACAGACAACCCTTGCCATTGTTTCTTGTGTGCTTGATTTCATTGATCAAGTTTGCTTTAGTCAGTACAGATTTGGGTTTTTGGAGGTCAGAGAGCATTTACCCCTGAAAGAAGGGCCTAAGTCACCACCACTCTGGTCACTAATATTGTATAAGTGCAGTAAAAGTGTTTGTTGTAATGATAGAAGACACATTGTCATCCATACAGTAAACCGTTCATATAGAATACGAATATTTTTTCCATATGAGTTAACAAATCGTTGTCATGTATCAATAGTTTAGTTCATCTGGAATGGAAGACGATTCAGCTGAGCATCATCTCCATGTCCAACCAGTGGGTCCAGGCTCAAAAAGGTCCTTGCAATCATACTCCTAGCCGGTGGGGGTGTACCCAGAAAGAGAATAACCAATTCAGTGTTTTTTTTGACCAGCCTATTTAAGCCACTGTGGACTTTTGAATGCTTTTGTTATATAAAAAGGGGCTCATCCCGGCAAACGGATGTGCAAATGTGTTTTTTCAAATTTTCCTGCCTTCAATTATGAAAAAGTCCATAGAACGCAAAAGTCGTGGCACATCAACAGCGGAGATAGGTGTGACTACGTCCGTTGAAATATTATAGTATACTATTAAAACATTAATACAACAAATGCGTAGACTTTACTTTTATTGAGTATTTATTTTATCAACGTATTTATTAATGGTTCTGGCTTTGCTTCACAATGAAAGATCATACTGTACATATTTTTCAAATTAAAAGCTTTTATTCACAAACACATGTAAAAATACATTTTGGGATATTCTCTTATTTACATCAATTTAAAATACCAAGGACTAGACTAAAGCCAAGCATGGAGTGAGTATAATCTTTGTTAATTTATCTTCAGCGGAGTGAAAACAATACACTAATGCCTTCACTGTTTACTCTGTGTTGGCCGCGTGCCAGGACTCATTGAGGAGTCTGTGGTGAGGTTGTTCCTGATGAGTGCAGACGCAGAGATGGAGTAGGAGAGGTGAGAGGCGGCGTGGAGCGCCATTGTCATATGCAGTGAGGGGCGTCCAGCTGTGGACTTGTACGCCGCTTCAGGCCATCAACACCTGTGTACATGCATCATGTACAAACATATCAATTATATAGACTATTGTGTGTAGCCCTACATTTACATTCACTTCTTTCAGTCTCTTACATAGTACTTTGTCATGTAATTACTCCAAAAGTATTCAATATATATACTCATTTTGCCGCAAAACAAATTCTGGTTCAGTTTTTATGCAATACTTAACTACATGACTGTGTCTTTGTAGTACAACACAAAGTAAGTAACAAGTAACGCAACTTTCATCCCCACACTCACACAATCACAGTTTATTTGATTGGAAGTTCTTTATACAAATGGCACCTTTCGGGATTATGAGTGTAATCCCAGCATTTTATTCCTAATTTTAAAACTCAGAAGAGCCTGATCCAGTGAAAGCTGTTCTATCTGTGATGTCTATCTGGTCTATATATTTGGTCTCTGTATGTTGCTATATGTGAATGATGCAACATGACCAGACACCTAAGAATACGTCTTAAAAGTGCTGTTGTAAATGCATGCTTAGACCTGCTTGAAGACTAGGACAAGAGTGGTAAGACCGGTTTAGGGACAAAGACAAATTGAGTTTTGTTGAAAAGCTTAGTCCATTTTCCCATCTCAATGTAGTGACCATTTCCATTGAACGGTCAGGGGTAGAAGTGTCTCAGCAGCTCCTTCTTGTTGACCTTGCCCATTTGGTTTCGGGGCATCTCCTCCACCAGCAGCAGGCCTGCGGGAATGGTGTAGGGCGCCATGTGCTCCCTGAAAAACAACCCCGTCCCCGCAGAGGTCAGGCCAGTGAAAACAGAAGCCATGGACACACAACACAAGGGCGCACTGACAACAATGATGAGTGTGCCGAGGAAAACATGCACACAAACGCTTCCACAGAAAACAACACAAAACAATTTCAAAACAAAAGCTCGCCCTGTGGCACAGCAGCTCAGATAAGGAAACCAATGTCCTTCATAGAGCGCGCTGCGGCTCCCCTCCCCAATACCCATTCGCCTTCCAGACACTTCCCTCATGAAACAATATAATCTCCACTATGAAGAAACAAATAATACAGGGGAAAACAGAAGGCGGGGATAATTAAAAGAGTTCCATTTGGGGAGCTCAGTTGTTACGTCAAGAATTGAGGCCTGGGGCTTTTTTATTATCTTTAACCCAGTTTGTTTGTGTGCGCGTGCGACTTCCTGTGTTAATGCGTGGGTATGCGCTGGTAGAATGATTCATAGTGGTGCCATCTCACACCGCTTTGAGCAGATGTGTTTCTAACTCAGTGAATAAAACTACACCGTGTATATATATTGGTGTAATGTGCCACCAGGTTCTGTCTGCATCCACCCCCCCATGTGTTCAACCCGGTGATGCCGATTGAGAATGACAATTGAAGGCAGGGCACTGAGGAGTGAGCATCCAGCCACTTGTTTATGTCTCTTTTTATTGCCGCTTTCTCAAATAGTAGCTGCAGCTTTGGAGCGTGTTTGGGCACTGGCTGACCACTGGCTGCACCCATGGCAAAAATGTCCCGGGTCACGTCACGCTCACCAAAGCGGCACTAAACCACCGCTGGACGAGCAACGGGCCACAGCAGCAAGATCCGACCACCCCCACACCATATGGAGCCTACAGCAATGGTGCGCTACATGCGATGTAGATAAATGATGGTGGGATGTGGAAGGGAAGCAGTGAAGACAAAACAGATGGTAAAAAGTGAAGGTGAAAGAAAAGGTGAAGTTGAGAATATCTAAATTTCTCAGACGTTTTATAACGTGTGTAAGGAAAGGTGATAAGTCACCAGCTGTCCACATTGGAACAATACATTACTTTGACGTTAACAAACAAGAGAATATTATCAGTTTAAAACTATTTGTCTCAATGTTGTATTGTGAAATGTTGAAAGGAATCTGATATAGCTCACATTCAAGTCAAATCTGAATTTAAATGACATTTTCAGGAGTGAAAGAATTTAAATGAATAAGAATTACATGAGCTCCTGAATCCTTTATACAGTGACCACATGTTTCCCTTTTTATGTACGTTGATTTTTGTAGTCCTCTATCTCTTTTTAACGTTTCAGGACTCCATTTGTCTGTTTCACATACAATTTCTGAAAATAAATGTTTGATGATCTTATTTTAACATGGCTATGTTAGAAGTGTCTTATAAACACACAAAGCGAATACATTGTAATATTTTGAGTTTTTGCGTTTCAGGAATGTCTTGTTTTAGTTTTATTTGCACGTATAGTTTCTTTATATAGATCCAGTCACAGGGAACAGTAGTATTGTGCCGTATGCTTTATTGTACATGGTTTTGGTGGATTTCTGGATGATGAATTTGCTGTTGCTTATTCAGGTCACAGTCTCCACTGGTGGTACAGGTTGGAGTCCACCTGCTTCTGAAAAGCATTTTTAAAGGTGGCAGGTGGCCCAGTATTTAGAGACATCATCCTTACTGGGTGTTCAGACCATATACAACTCTGGCACCTGCTTTCAGCTAATGCTAAGAGGAATAGTCAGGAAAAAGACAAAACACCTGGGCTGCTTATGAATAATGGAACGTAGCAGTGTTGAGAAAACAATTTACCGAGCCCAAATCTTTAAGTCTGATAAAGTCAGACTCTTCCCTTGTTGGAGCTGCACGACTGCAGTGACTTTCTGACCCCAGACTGGATCCGGAGCTCCGATCACTGCCACATCTGGAGAAAAAAAATGAAGTACACAATAAGCAAAGGATGTTCTAGTCCTCCATTTCTCATATGATTTCAATCCCATGTGTGTTTTTATGTTTTCATGTTTTGAATTACTTATTTGTTATATTTTTAATATTTATTTTGATCTAAATGTTTAATGTCCGGTGGGGTTTAATGGTATTTTTGTTGTTTATGTTTATGATGAGGAACTTTGTGTAGGAAAGGCGCTCTACGTAAAATAAAAGTTAATTAAGCTCTTACCGATGATGTCTGAGTGAGCCAATAGGTGGCGCTCTACATCAAGTGCGCTGATCTTATAGCCTCCACTTTTGATGATGTCCACACTGGTGCGGCCCAGGATTGAATACACGCCATCTTTATAGACTGCGGTGTCGCCTGTGAATATCACAAAAACATTTCAAATATAAGAAACAAACTTGCATCAAATTTAGTATCCGTAGTGTGTTACTGCTGCTGTAGTTTGAAGAAAGAGACTGAATAAAACAAAAATGTATGTCCAAGGCACTTTTGAATGCTGCATAAGTGAAGTTTATTGATTGAAATACATTTAGACTTTAACATATACCATGATGAAAATGCTATATTCAAAACACCTTGACATCAATTCAACTTCAGCAATCAGAAGTGATCCTTTTCAGCTTTCTATTTTTTCTTCTTTATTTAATGAAACAAAACAAAAAAATGAAACGAAAGACAATTCTCGCACACTGTACTTGCATCTGTAAATAAAAAAAACCACTGGTGTATGCAACATTTTGGTTGTGGGCCTTTGTCAGGCAAAAGAATAACAAAACATTTGCGTGATAAGTAGGCTGAGCCCTTCTTTAACCAGCGGAGAGAAAAAAGAAAATAATTTGCTAGAAGAAATAATCAATTTCCTTCTGATACTATACTATTTTTATCCAAATCTATTAATCTACGGGAACAGAGCCTGGGTCTAGACTCTAGACTGGAAGTATGAGAACAGTTACTAATGCTTTGCTCCTCGGGCATCTCTTCACGTGGATGGATGAAGGCTCGAGACGCCCAGCCCCCTACCCTTAAACTCAGGGAGGGACCGGTGCGAGTGGAGGGGTGGTTCATTGGGACGTGGGGCTCAGGTGGGCCGGGGTGCGATGAGCTCCGGAAATGGGTCACTATGGATGAGTGGAGAGACTGGAGAGACAGCGAGAATGGACAGAGATGGGAGAAGCAGGAAGGTGTCTTTTAGGATTATTACAGGTGCTGCGTCCACATCTGGGGCCAGACGGGGAAAAAGGGGGAAAAAAGTCAAAAGTGATTGGTGTCAGATGAGGTCACAGGTGAAGGATACGCGAGCAGAGAATGAGGTGATGATCCATTAGAAATTATAGAAATATTAGATTACAAACATTGGGATTATTCAGGTAATAAAAAAGTTAATAATGAACAAATATTTATCGCAAAATGAAGCTATTTAAATTTTCTTTATAATCTAAAGCTGTGCAACGGCTTCTTAATTGGCTGACCATTAAGAGAGTTCATAAAGTAGGTCATACAGAAACAACAGGAACATAAATGTGTGCAAAGTGAATTGTTAAAGAAGGCATTATGAGTGCTGAAATAAAACGTTATTGTACCACTCGGACATCACACGGAGAGCAGTTTTCTGCATTTTTAAACTAAAGTATTGCCACATCAAATTCTATACAATTATATGACTGTATGCAGCTGGTAATGTAAACAAAAAAAAACACAGGCAGAAAAAAATATTGTATCCTTCATACTTCTTTTACCATATTCTTTAAGATATTTTTCTGCATTCTAAAACATGAAAGACAGTGAAAAATAATTTTAATTTTAATTATAATTTTTAATGGCCAAAACAATGCATAATAATGTTTCTTTAAATAATCAGTTGATAAATATTACTTTTCCCCTAAACTTCCTGAAGAAAACCATACAATGCTACAATTCTTTGTAGTGAATGTACTTTTTTTTAATTATTAAATGTGGCTTTCGACAGTAGGAATTAGCTTTTGATACTAAATTAAGAGAACAATCAAAGTGATAAAACACAAAGCATGACAGCCTCTGAAGCATGAAGTCTGTGTATTTTACTATCCTTCCAAAACATGCAGGGCATTTGTCTGAATGTAGGTCAAATGCTAAACTTCAGTAAAAAAAAAAAAAAAAAAAATCAGAAGCTAACTATTTATTCAACTGTTAACGCACGTAAAGAATGAGTTTCTCCAAAAAAGTCACACAAAAACAGGAAAATGATCATCCAGCCAAAAGTATTTCACAGGAATATGAGATCAATACAATGAATAAGCAATTGTATTTCCTTATGCAAACTTATGTCCTCATCTTCTCTTCCATCATTGAATCTCGTTTGGAGGAAGAGACAGGGACTTGCAGACACTTGAATCATTCTCTTCTGCCTCCATTCATCTCCTCTAAACTCTCAACTCAAAACACTTTCACTTCATCGTTCCGTATTTTCTCCTTAAGTCATTCACTCAGCGTACGTGGAGCATCTCCACTTCCTTTGCTCCACCTTTTTGCCTGTCTGCTTTAGCCTCTGCCTGTATGCCTCAGCATCAATACAGAACCCATCTGTTCCCATACATCACGCACTTCATTTCAGTTTATTAGCTGGGATAAATCATAAATATTTCATTATACATCACATGCGGCTGTCGCCTGCACAACCACAATTTATCACCGCTGCCCTCTCTGCCGGCTTGCCATGCCGACTATAAGCTTTCCAGTCTATTAAACAAGATTGATACAGTGTGTAAATTTAGATATTGGGAATTTCTTCACAGACCACTGCTCCGCACTGATAGGGCAGGGTAATGGAGAGAGGAGGGGGCTAAGGGAGTGAAGGATAGGGCTTGGTTTGGTGTTAACACCACTAATGCTGCTTTCACACTAAGGCCAGACAGCAAACAGATGTCATTTAGAAAAACAGAAATCTCACTGCAAAGGAAAACAAATGACATCCACAAAATGGAATCAGGAATGCAATTCTGATGTGCAAGACTGAATAATGAAAAACATCAACTTAAACCAGCGCCGTTTCCCACAAGGAGAAAGAGTGACACAACATATAACTACTGGACTGTGTTACTCCTTAACCAACATACAGTAACACAAAGCGTTTATTTTCTTTAACAGAAACGATATAACTAACTAAGAACACAGCGTTTGATCAGCATCAGCTCAACAGGACCAAACATCTCTTTGCATGTTTTTTTTCAAGTGCAGAGAAAAGAAAGCAGCATTAATGAGGCGCCGGCTGACAAAAGCATTCAGTGGAGTTTGAAGTACTTCTGCAGGACTCTTTGACCTTGGCTGTTTGAGAGACTGAAATAACGAGGACTACAACAACATGTTTGGAGAGAAGTGCAAGTGGGAATTTGATGGAGAACACGGCTGATAAAAGGGAAGAGGGGCGAGATAGTTAATATGAACCATGTCAGAGGAATGAACTCACACAACACACAAACGCACACAAGAACACACACAACACACACAGCACGACTCGAGGCATCAGCGGCTCACTGCCATTATGTGTTATGGCGTCGGAGGCAGATATGGACGAATGGCTTTCTTAATTAAAACGATAAGAAGCCTAATTGCACTGGGCTTTCATCTCATTCCGAGGCATTAAAGAAAGTGAAGGCGCTCAGTGTGAAGAGAAAAAAATAAAACAGATCGAGACTTTAACCCAACGACGGAGGACAGCAACATTTTATCAAGTCTTTCAGAAAACAAGCAAATGGCCCTGAAACTTTTACCATCAGAAAATCAAAAGAAACTCAGATAAGACATCTTTACCGAAATGTAAAAGTTTGTTAAAGCAGAACACTGTGCAAGAGAGTTTTTCAAGTGACAATAACAGTTTGTCAAAGTGGTTTTGAACAAGCCTCAATAGTCACAGGGCTGTTGATGTGTGAAGTTTACATTCCAACAGTGGATCTCTTTGCTGCTGCTGTCAAATGTGTCTTAATCAGAGGTATTGTTATTTATGACAGCTTTCACCATGCTGACCAGCCATATGTGAAGGCTACTCAAATGCAGGAGAATCCAAAATAATTGACACCCCCACTCACTGCGTGAATATAATCTCTAAATTACTTAATCCAGATCAATAGTCAAGGCTCTGTAGCATGACTCGCCAGACCCTTGTAGTTCCGCCATGCTCCATCAGAGGCGTTTGGCTGAACCACATGGGTCTGGTACCTACGCCATAGCAAACTCCTTTAGCAGATCAGAAAACAATTCTGACGATAATCTAACAAAAAGATGTCATTATTATTTTTATTTTTTTTGACAATGCCATTATTTTGATCTTGTTCTGTAGCTTGAGTCCTGGATCATTAGCCCGCCGTCCGTTCGTGTGGAGCGGATGCCTCTCTCAATGTGGATCTCAGAATCAGAATCAGAATCATTTTTATTGCCAAGTAAGTGACAGGAGGTCACAGACTTGGAAATTGCTTTGGCTCAGTGCAACAATCAGAGAGAGAGAATACAAAATAAGAATTAAAAACACTTCCACAAATTAAAAACATCTCCCTGAGGTTTCTCACTTTTCTCCCACTGGGGTGATGATCCAGGACACTAACATTCTACAACATTTATGAACATTTATCAACATTCATGATCATTGGTCAACTCCACCCTATGGTCCAATACAAATGTGTTTGAACTTTTTTGTGTTTGATTCTCTGATCGTTGTTGGAGATTTCAACGGTTTTGTTAAGTCGTCTGAGAAGAGTCCTCTGTTGTGATTTAGGGCTAAACAAGAATACATTGAATTGAATTGAAGTGAATAGACTACTCAAAAATTATAACCCAACTACAACCAAAAATGCAGACAACAAAAACCAATAATCAAAAGAAGAAAAACAAAAGGATGGACAAACAAGAGGACATGACAGGCCAGACACAGAGAGAGAGCAATATTTTTTTGCATAGTTCAATTAATTTGGTTTGAAAGTTATAGCTTTAAGTTTCAGATTTTTTTGTAACTGGTAAATTACAAACAACTTTAACTCCAGACAATCGTTCTTTAAAAGAAAAGGGCACAAAACTTGAGACTTAGACGGACTTTATTGATCCTCAAGGGAAATTGGGTTGTCACAGTAGCTTGCATAGTTTTCCACATAAAAACAATGAAAAAAACAATAAAGACCTGAAAATACGAATAATAAGATACTATTGTGAGAATAGAATAATCTAGATATAGGTACTCAGGAATATACATAAAACTCTTTTGATAACAAAGGTTGCAGACCCATGGAATATATATTTTGATCAAATGGTTAACTTTGCCCCCTGATCTTTGCAAACCGAGATCTGACATCTTATTCACGTATATACTTGACAAAAGCCCTTCTCTGTGTAAGAGATATGTTTTTGCTCACACTTTCCACTAAAGCGCTTTCATCTTACAAGGACATCCGTTTCTTTGTGCAAATGCAAAGTGCAAACACGAAATGGGTAGCACTGGAGGTAACAACAAAAGGGCAGCGTGTGACATGTGACAAAAGCCAACTTCACAAAAAACAGCTCCCTGGACGCGATTGCCAGAGGTGTCAGACAACCCCAAAAATAAGGACAAAAAAGTGGTTGGAGGTGACAGTAACCATCCATTAGTTTGTCAGAGAGAGAGAGGAATGGCGGCTGCATTTTTAAGTGAATGTGACCTGGATCAGGCTGCACAATGCACTTGTTTTTGTACACAGCTCAGCCCTCGGGATGTCTGTGGTATTCAGCCTCCTGCAAACTGCAAAGTGATGAATGGTGAAATGATAGCTGCAGAATACAGCCCCACTGAGAGACCAGCGCTGTGTGAATGAGATTGTGGCATTACGGATTATTCATTATTATGTTAGGAAAAGATTAGCATAGCAAACAAAAGAAAGATTAGAGAAATATATTGTTACGACTACACCACACAGAAAAGATATCATTTAACTTTCTTAAAAAAGTAAAAACAGTAGAATAACGGAAACAAATTCACCGCAGTGCATTACTGAAATTAAGCATTTAGCTGCTTCTGAAATTTGCAGCAAATTGCAATATATAATTTGAATGAATAAAGCCTCAAATAT